TCGTTAACAATAAATTTGTAAATGCTATAACTGACAACGAAAAAGGAACTTTAACTCTGTCCTTGCAATTACAGATTGTTACGATCATTTTTATATCACCAATGTTAGTCCACTATCTTCTTCTGGTTTTATTCTTCACCGTATTATTTTCCATTGACACAGTTCTGCCCTTAACCTGCTATAAGGTAACTGTTCTTTTATTAATCAAAAAGTAATCTGAATAAAAAATCAATTTTTGCAGAACGATTAAACAAATAGCACTTTTATCTTTGTATAATTACAAAAGCAATGAGCCAACGCTTAGGTGACTGAAAATAGGTAATAATAAAAGCCACAGAATAAAAGACTATCTAGAAATGGTTTTTGTATTATAACCAACTGTTCATCAACTAATATTTTGCTGTTCCGTGCGCTTATTTTTTACTTCTACACTTAAATTTACGAATTTTAAACTAAAATCGATACTAGTTGTAAAATACTGTCGATAAAATTAAAAAAAAATATTTATTTGAGCAACACACAGAACTTCCAACAGAGAGTTACCGGCAGTTGTAAACAGTACAATCAAGTATCGTTAAACTTCCAGAAAATGATTCTCGATTATAATGAAAGTTAGCAGTACTCACACAGACATAGATATTCATGTACTGCATGAGACGCCTATGTTCCAAATATTTTTGTTTACCAACGGAAAAATTATGATCACATAGACTGAAATGAATGTGTAAAGGCACAGAAATGAAGTATTCCGTGAAAAAAGCGTATTCAAACATCTTAAGAAAGCTAATTATCAACTTTACGATGAAGTTTTTTGATGCAAACGACGCTATTTGTGAATCTGCGATAGCGTTGTTGGCGATACAGCTGACGCGCTGCAAGATCGCTATAATCACCACTTCCACGGCTATTAAAGTATGCTCACAGTTTTGCTGTTTAGCGGAGGAAAAATTTGATTTGGGTATAGGAATGCTTTATGGGGAAGTTGAAGTAATCTTCAAGCTCCGCCGATAAATAGATCTTGTAATGAAATATGAGTCAAACTTTGGAATTACGACTGATGGAGAAGCTATACTAGTCGTAAACGTAGTTTATCAATGTGAATAAATCCGCTGTAATGGTACACCGATACCAAAATATTAGGAAAAAAACTGATACAGCATAGAATTTCGGAATTTCATGTTTACAAATGACTGGGCTGCAATTCACTATTTGGAACTTCCTGGGATCGTTGTGATTGTAAACAAGTTTATCAGATGGACCAGTATAATAAGAATTGACTTTCCTGAATCAATTTAGATTGTAAAGCAAACTGAAAAAATTTTTTTGCCAACAAATTTTCATTAATTTTATTAATGAAATAGGAAACAGAGGATTTTTCTAAGTGAGGATTTTAAACAGAAAGTAATTTACTAATAGCTGTCACAGACAAGTTCTGACCCTCAAAATGGCAGTAGTTATTTTTGCGGATGAAAACATTTGAACCCCAAACTTTAATTTACTTATTTATTCAGTTTTAAATCACTTAAGAAACAATTTTTTTTAATACTAAACTTTTTTTTTTCAAATTTACAAAGGCTTAACATTAACCAAACGATTATGGTCGTCTCCCAGTCGTTCCATTCCTTTTCCTATCAACAACTGTTTTCTACGTTTGAGATTAAAAGTGCTCAACACAGAGCATAGTTGATCTACTTGGTTTCAAAGCACTAAACTATCAAATAAATATCAATTTTCTAGTTCTTGGCTACTTTTTTTTGGTACTATCCAAGTTTTCATTCCATTTACAATTAGTCTTTTGGCAAAACTCATCTTCCTATTTGCCGCTCCACAAAAATCACTTCTTTTTAGTTCTGGTTCATATTCTAAACTGCCTAAACTTTTAAGAATTTATATTAATATATTTGACCCCAGCAGACGGTTTAACCGCCCGGTAAAAACAAAAAATATTCTTAGTCTATTTGATAACTGTCAGATAAAAAGTTTCCTCACCAGCGGTCTGTTCCAAATGCCGATCTAATGTTACCCTTACAAATTTGCTAATAGCTAACTCACTTTTTGTTGCCGTACATTGCCGCAAATGAAGTCTTTGCGGTTTATCCTTTAGAATGAGAATCTCTGGAACTAGTATTAAACCCTGTTAGCTGCTGTCGTTCTTTTTGTTTCTCGACAGGTGGTGATGGTATCGTTGGCAATTTTGGTGTTAATACGGTGAACTAAAACT